ATAGATAGATAGATAGATAGATAGATAGATAGATAGATAGATAGATAGATAGATAGATAGATAGATAGATAGATAGATGATAGATAGATAGATAGATAGGATAGATAGATAGATAGATAGATAGATATAGATAGATAGATAGATAGATAGATAGATAGATAGATAGATAGATAGATAGATAGATAGATAGATAGATAGATAGATAGATAGATAGATAGATAGATAGATAGATAGATAGATAGATAGATAGATAGATAGTGCATCTTCAATTCCAGGGGAAGAAATCATCAAAAACAGCTATCCGCCTTTGGTTTACATCCGGGCCGTGGTCGGAAGACTCTTTATCTGCTTATCTTCGCGCTCTTACCCACACAACTTTTGATTTTTTAAACAAAGCCAAGTCGGTGGTCATTCGTAGCTAAAATCCCGGGTTTGCCTCATCTATGGCCCTGTTGCTCTTGTTCTCTCGAGGTGTTGTTTAACTGAACCATTGTCTGACCTCATCGCAGCTGCTTGCGTGCCAAGACAGACAGCTGTTGCTGCAGACCAGATTCAATGCCCTCCGAAGACGCCTGAAAGAGGAAAACTGAGGAACGGAAAGGGTGGAAGAAAGAGTAGTGCGCTAAACAATCAAAGCGCTCGCTTCAGGAGACAGCCGAATGTGTAAAATTGCCCAGAGTGGTGTGAACTGAGTTTGTGAACGAATGTTTCTTCCTGGCATTCTCCCTTCCAGTGTTTGTTGCTGAACTTCTCATACCGTATACGAGGTCAGCGGGTGGACAGGATCGTTCTGATTTTTGAAAGGTAGATGCGTTTACGTGTTTTCTACAGCTGTTTACTGGCGATATGATACGACGAACTTTATTTAAGGATCCGAAGAAGTGCCCCACGTGAGGATGATTAGACCTAGCCTAATTTGGGCTGGCAATTTATTCATGCGTGTTTTTTGCTGCTGGTTACTTTTTACTAAACTTTCATAAATTTGCTGCGTAGATATTCTTGCATAAGGTATTTCGTTTCCATGCGCACCATTTTCGGTCCTCTGAAAAAAATATATGTTGCGAAGACGCGTTTGAAAATCCTCCTTTTTTATAGAAAAGAACTTTCTATACAGAACATTGACTGTCGAATAAGCTACTCTTTTCAACACCAAAGCACCGGTAGAACTGCACAAGAAGAACGTCACGATACGCCTCAGAATGAACATTCATGAATAGACTAAGTACATCTCCGTTATGCAGAGAGAGAGGAGAGATCAGTGGCGAGGGACACTACTGTTTGGCCTTGCCAAGATTCTAGAGTCCTTTTAAAAGTCACCGGTTTTACATGAAGTGTCATTCAAAACTATTTGTTAGCAGAGCTCTTCATGCATCCCTCCTGCATCCACGCAGGAACATACATGTCGGTGCTGGGAAAACACATCGCCCTTGTAGTCACCGCTGCGGTCCTTCTCGTGCACGGCCGATGCCGTTGCTACGCCGTAGAAGCGAAGCATGATGGAGACGTTCTTGCGCTTGACCAGCGCATCTTGCAGTCCCTCGATGGACTAGTAGAGGCACTGGGATCGAGGCTGCACCTTACCTACGTGGACTCCGCCACTGGACTGCTCTTCACCACTGGTGCGTATGCAGGGATACCAGTTTATCAGCATGCTCGAAATGCAGCGATATCGCTACAATTACGACTACAATACAGCACCGCGACAAACCAAGTATACAGACTAGCATAAACCGGTAGCTGCCGCACGAGGAGAATTTTGTACAGTTTTGCTGCGAGAAAGCATGCAATATAGTCGAGAGTTCGACGGAATGCCGTCTGGTCAGGTAAAGGCATTGTTGAATAAAACAGGTCACTGACCAATGTCAAACAAAACAATGAGATTTCGGGACCCGTACGGATCCCTCGTTCGCAATTTCGAACAAGGGATCCGTACGGGTCCCGAAACGTCATTGTTTTGTTTGACATTGGTCAGTGACCTGTTTTATTCAACGAAAGCATGCAATGTAGTTGCTAGACGGGTCTGGCGCCTCTACTCGATTGACACGTTTCTCTTGAGCAAAATGAGGTATTGTACTAGTTGGTTTTTCATAACTAAACTATAAAACTGTTTTTTTTTTCAAAACTGCGCTACAGTTACTGCGAAATAAGTAGTTAGGGAGGCGACACCAAACAGAATGAACACTACCAAGCGTGAACTATCAACTGAAATTTATTGAAAAATACTTGACGGTATGAAGACTTACAGGAAGGCGAAAGATTGGTTTACGATGAGGGTGGTGGGCGGCATTCTTGCTGAACTGATTTTACGTGCCACACGTGGGCTGATTACGATTACGAGGTATAACAAAGACTCAAAGTTCTTTTCTGACTATGCTGATTCAATTGCTGCATGTGGCTCCTTATACATTTGATTTCGGGCGAGGTTAGTAGAATGGAGCTTGAACTGTCGCATGCGCCTTTCTGGTGCAATATGAGAAAGGCTTCTGAAATTTTGGGTGTAGTCATATTCATTGATTTGGCGAAAACTGACGCTTTTTCCCCCCTAACTTTGGGTTGCACCCACACTTCCTGCATCGCTATGCATGCCAGCAAACTGTAATTATATTCCATTAATTGAAGTTGATAGTTTGCCCTTGTAGTGTGCACTTTGTTTCGCGTCTCCTCACTAACTACGCATTTCGCAGTAACACATTTTCCTTGCTGTTCGCTCTTTTTCACACATAAGTGCTGGAAGTGAATATTATCTTACGATTTGAAGTCCCAAAACCGCCAAATGATTGTGAGAGACGCTGTAGTGGAGGGCTCCGCAAATTTGGACCACCTGGAGTTCTTTTACGTGCACCCAAATCTACGTACATGGGGCTCAAGCACTTTCACCGAAAATGCGGCCGCCGCGACCTGCGGGTCAGCAGTCTAGCAACGTCACCACCGTGGCGGGTGCGTGCAGAAAAATGGGCACGTGTTAGGACTTAAAAAGACAGGTTTGATTTCTTGAAAGTACCGACCTCGCTACATCTGTTGTGAGCATCGGTGCCCTGAGTCATGCTTTGGGGACCAGACCTGCAAAGCAGGTGTCAAGCTGAGGCAATGATTTTACATGACACGCTACACAATGCTTCGCGCATGAGCCCCTTTAACGTTTTCATTGACTCGGGACGTCAAAGATGCATGAGTTCTCCTTGGTTTCAATATAAACGTAGACGAAAAGAGTAATGAGGCTTACGATCAGGAAACGGAGAAAGGCATTTACACGAAAGCCACATAACAAGCCTTGGAAGTATTCCAGTTGGGTGAGCGTAATGCGGGCGTCAGCGCATCACGGTGGCCAAAATATGTAGTATTGATTTATGCTTTCCGTCAATGACCATATGAAACAGAATTTGATCTCTAATGTAGTGCTCGCAGCTGCGCAGCGCTAAACGAACGCACCGACTCGCGGCAGTGTTTGTTCACATTTGGCACATCGGCAGCTCGACACTCACACCGCATTCGATGCCTGGGAAGGTAATGTCACTTTCTACGGGACACGTGCAACAGCATTGCCGGTCCCTTTCCTTAAAACAAACACAACAATAATAATAACAACAACAAAAATTAATAATGAATACAGGGCAGCTTTGAGTGGCGTACTTTAGAGGACGCAGAGCGGTTCAGGCCTTTTACTCCCGACTGTGCTGCCGAAGTAGTCGTAATTACGACTAGCTGTTACCTCTCAATTCTCCGTGGACCAATGCACGTTTGCGTTTGTACTGTTAAACAGATATACCGGCACAATGAGTATAATTAGCCCACTTTTCAAGTAGTGCGGGTCCCCGAAGCTTTGTTGCACTGATTTGTTGCATTGATTGAGTCGGAAAATATCACTCGTGGAGATTTTTACAAGGTGTATCGTAACAAAAATCGCAGGAAGCGTCTGTGTCTTTAAAGTGGCTTGAAGTATTTTACAAAAACTATATACATTTGGTGTCACGTAATGTTAAACGAAATATCTGGTATTCCTCGTCGAATACTCCTGAACAAAATTTCTTGATTAAAACGAAAAGACAAGCTCCAATTAAACATCTCAAGAAGCACAGATACACTTATTGTAAGCAGTAAAAAAGTCATAGTTATGAACTTTTTGTTATAGTACGCTTACAAACAAATTTTACGCGATGGGGTGTCAGGTGATCTGAGTGTGCAATTTTGTTCCAAAAGCGATCTGCTGGCTGGTTGGAGCCTTTGCTGGCTGATGAATACATGATATCAGTCGGTTCTCTAATATTCCTTGCTATTTCATGCATATGTATTTTTCAACAATCACAACATGTACGTGAGAGCCAAGACTCTTTACTGTCATCAAGCTAAAGAGCAATGAAGCTCACGCAGTCGCTGCATTTCCCGGCATTGCTTTGAACCGCGTCTTCGCCGCACAACCTGACACTATGCAGTGAAGCCTTAGCAACGCTGAAAGTATTATTTCATATTTTTGGCGTTTGCAAAAGTAGTGAGCAGGAGTAAAGGGTTGCCCTCTATTTCTTTCGTTTAACTGAATCAATATTTTCTATTAGTTTTTTGGAGCGAGCGTCATGGCATCTGGTTTTCACCACAGTCATAAAAACATGGTGACGCACATGGTGGTGCAGAATGCGTTTTATTTTTGCTGTTATTATAAATTACCGTAAAGGCAATACAGCAGGTGAAGGGAAGTGTCTGAATGCTTAACGTTTTTCTTTGTTTTTTTTTAACAATCATCCACACTGTTAGGCAGAGGCTAGCGGCGTCGTAAGTGCGTTGATCCTAACCATATTGATGTCTGCTTATAGCAAAAGTTATGAGCCTTGTCGAATAAATTAAATGGCCTGCAGAACGACTGAGATTGAAATAGTTCGCTTTCCGGGCTCTTGACAATATTTTTTTCGGCTTCACATTAATTCTAGTCTCAGAAGTTATACAAGCAGTGAGTGCGCTAATGAAATCGGCCCCTCAATCGGATTTGTCTTTCCCGTCCCGTAGACCGTCTGCAGAACGTTCTCAACATGGTGAATGCTGGCGCGGGAAACGACTCCTTGGGCACTTCGGGACAGCTGCCTACGAGTTTCAATGTGACCGTGTCGGAAATCAAAGCTCTCCAAAGGAAAACAATACGATCTGGAGACACTGCCATCGAGCGCGTTCTTCACACAACGGATATCCCGATACGTGAGTACTTTTCAATTTGAACAGCACGTCATTTTCACACACGTGCTCGTGGCTTCTTTATTCAGGCTAATTGTGAACTTGGTTTCGTAATGACGCACCTGTACAACTAAGACTATACACAGCTACGCAGGTACATGGGGCCATCGCACATGAAGCATCGCCAGGGTTAACGAAAACTCAGACCCAGCCAAACCAAACGCTGCTCTTGCAAATGTTTCGTGCATCTTGACTGGCGTCTATAGAGCAGAGAAATTCAAACCAATAAAACATATCTTCTTTCCTAAATATTTTTAATTCAGTATTTGTTTTCATCCAAAACCTACAGGCAACAGAGCCCATTCGTGTTTGAATACACCTGCAGAATGTTATGGACATCACGTCAATTTTTTTTTACAGCGAAAGCTGTTATAAGATTACAACAAGGCTCCCGTGCACTGTGATATCGTAACCACTATCGCAAAAAATAAAAAAAACTACATAAATAAGTACATATAGGGCACAGTTTAACAACAATATAACCCGCGTTCGCTGCGTGCCAGCCCAGTATTCTACCACTGAGCCACGCCAGTGCTTGAAACTCTGCTGCTAACTGGCCTAAGGCAGGCTTGATGTCCCGAAAGGAACGGCGCTAATATGATTAATAAAGCGTTTTAGAACAGCATAGAAACAACCAGTTGTCACAATTTGGAATTGAGTAACGAGTGCATCGTAGAATGTTTCAACCTCCATTGTTGTTGTTGTTGTTGTTTTCCTTGTGCAAATGGCTCGTACCCAAAGAAGGGGATTGGCCGATTATAAGGTGAACTTGCCCTAAACTTTCAGCATTGCGTCATTCCTACAATTTTTTTTTGTAACTTAATTTTGATTTGAAATACCGGTATCAAGTTTGCAGAAAAAAAAGAAGAAAAATAGTGAGACAGCAATTTAGCAAGAAAATCGTTTAGTCGCAGTGATGTATTGTTGAACGGCGAATAAAACATCCCTGTGGCTGAAACCCAGTGTAGAGGCCCCAAATGAAAGAAGATCAGGTTGTGATAGTTGCAAGCCCAGTCTTTGAAGAGGTGGTGTTAGTATGCCTTGCCTGAATAAATCGAAACGGCGACAATGTAATAAAAAATGACTGATCGTTTCCTCTTGATTACAGTAAATGCACATAGGGGAATTCAATATGCCTGATCTATGCAAGTAAAAATTGAGGGAGGTAACGCGGCAACGAAATTTCGTGATGACTACTTCCATCATCCTTGAATTAGTCAGTTCACTGCGCCAGGGAAATAACAAGTGTTTGTACTCTGGAGAAGCTGTCAGTGCAGGGTCAGATAAATTTTGCCTGATTTTAAGTGTGCGAAATCGCGCCACCGTAATGTATACTGTATGAGGGAAAATAGGAATAATTGGTGTCGAAAGGGATGCCTTCGCAAGAGAATCGGCTATTTCGTTTAACAACAAACCTTTGTGCCCTGGTGTCCAGATTAAATGAATTACAAAAGTCCATTACAAAAGCTTCAGGCATTATTCTTCATTGTCATCAGCCACAGCATAAAAAAAAGTGCACAGAATTCTTTACAAGCAAGCAGCGGGCACCACGCTTCTCCGAAGAATGACGAAGGATGGAGTAGTGAATGTTTCCATACTACACGAAAAATATGAAGGTTTATCGTGAAGTGGGTACCCTACAGGTGTGATTGTAGCAGTTACCCAGAGAGTGTTTATAAAACACTCTGAAAGGCCGCTCTTCCAGCTTTCATTGCGACTATGCTGCGCGTTTCATGCAGGCCTGTGTTTTTTTCCCCTTGTAAGGCCTTCGTATATCCTGTGAAACATTGACTGAAGTTGGTATGGCATTCAAACTTAGTTAAAACTGCGTGGAGCACTAAACACAGGTAGAAGTATACAGAGTAAGGGCAAATAAACAACCTAGCTGCTCGTCCCCTCTACTTATTCAACATGTGTCCCATTCTCCGCAGTTTTCAACACAATACAAGCCTAATAAACAAGTAAATTGGGATATTTAAATAATAATCTTCGTTTGAAGCATGACACTGAACACCAACTTACACAAGAAGGACACTGTTTTCCTTGTGTAAGTTGAAGAATCTCGTGAGCGTTTGTTGAAGGAAGATCTTTTCAGCACGCCATTCTGTGATATGAACTCACGGACAGCGAAAGCTGCTTCCCCTCGGATTAAAGTTGCGAAGCAGGCTTGTTGCATGTTTGATTAAAAATGGTAGCGCGAGAAAAGGGGACATAAGTTACTAACATGAAGACACACACACACACACACACACACACACACACACACACACACACACACACACACACACACACACACACACACACCACACACACACACACACACACACACACACACACACACACACACACACACACACACACACACACACACACACACACACACACACACACACACACACACACACACACACAACACACACACACACACACACACACACACACACACACACACACACACACACACACACACACACACACAAACACACACACACACACACACACACACACACACACACACACACACACACACACACACACACACACACACACAGCGCTTCAGCTCCAACCAATGATTTATTCTGGGACAGCATATACTTTTCATACACCATTTTTTTCCCACACCTGCAACTCGCACGTTTGAGAGCGCGAACAATTTTTTCAGCAGCATTTTTTTATCAGTGTTTTGCGAGCTTTTGACTGTGCTGCTAACTTGTGTCCCGTTTCTTTACGCTATACCATTGTTATTCGAATTTACTCTCTGTCTCACAATGTACATCCTTCCTACGCCAGTGTCTCGCGGAGTACTCCGACGCAACTTGTGGACCGACCCGCCAATTTCTGCCGGAGTGGAGCCGGCCGAGAACACGTCAGGCGTCACGTCGCACCACAACCTGAACGAGAACACGTCGGATGCGTGCATGACGCAACTGTTCACGAGGGGCAGCTGCCGAGGCGTGAACAGCACCTGTTGGGAGACTATGACGGGTGGAAATCACAGTGGATACAGCCTCACGCATCAGGTGCTATTCCTCACTATTGCTTTCAAGGTAAGCATTCCCGTCACAATGAGCAGCATTCCATTTCCCGAGTTATCGTGCGGAAACAGTCGCCTGAAACGGCACTTGTGCGAAGAGCGCAATTGTGTGGTTACCGCCACCTAATCTCGCAATATTGAGAAGCTATACGATAAACAGAGAGAGAGAGAAAGAGAAAAAAAGATATTTTAATGAAAAGCAGAAAATTCTTGATGTACAGAAAGGAACAGGCAATTTCAGGAGCGGTTTTCGGTGCCAACACATTGGGCTGTAGCCTTTCGTTTTTAACAGTGAAGCTATTTAGCAAATCATTCCTAGTCCGATGACCCCCAAAAACGATCAAGCTGATACGTGTCACAGAACTTTGGTAAATCACCAGAAGAACATATACTCCCCACTGGTGCACTAAAAATGAAGGAGGCAACAGTTAGGCCATCAACAAAAAATGCACCGACCGCGGCCAGCCAAGGACTCGTAGTACGTACAACGAGAGAATACTAGGGAGCGGGCGAGGCAACTGCAGCAGCCAAAAGACTCCAAAGTGATGCTATGCTCACGCCAATGATGACCCGCCCGTATATTTATGCGAGGTGCAAGCGCTTGGTGCCAGCGTGAGTTGTGAATTTCTTTCTCTAAAATTTGTACATACGTGTCAAGTCTGTGACTTTCACTGGTTTCACTCAGACCACTCTGCGCTGAAGATTAACGCAGAAGTAACCTAGCATCACTTAGCTAAAGGCTAGAAACGACCTAGAGGACACCTAGAAACAACCCGCAATACCTAGCCGAGGCCTAGAAATAACCTAGAGGCAGCTGCAGGTTAGTCTTAAGAATCTCCCATTTCGCTGTTTAAGCTTGGCACGGCTTAATGCAAGCGTCGGCTTTTTTTTTTTCTTGAATGATTAAATCAACAGTGCTACGGTATACCATAGCACTGTTCATTTAGTTGTTTCAGCACAACTGTTTCCATACATATGCGTCTAAAGATGCATATGCATGGAAACGATTGCGTTTTTTTTTTATTTTACACCGTGATATGGAAAAATAAGATAACATCCACTTTACAGCCCGCGTGCCCTGTAATATCGTCTATGGGGTGCGTTGGAAGTGATAGTAGAGGATGATATCATGCAAAGGTAAAATGCGATTCCACGCAGTGACCGAGAGGGTCTTTTGAACGACCTACGAGATTCTTTCAACCGATATAACATAATAAAACTTTAAACAATTACCCTGAACAACAATCCCCATGCTTGCCTAAGCATAACTGGCGTGCCCTTTGTCCTGTATCGCACGAGATTGCTTTGTAGTCATCAAATATTTAAAACAAAGAGAACGACCGCAGCAATAACAACCGTAATCTATAGCATCTCCGAAATGCGCGGTGCATTTATTTGATACCACGGGTCAAGTTTGCGTCTCGCAGAGGTGATGCATGTCACGTGATGATTTTAATAGCGTAACGTAAATGCTACACCATTTACGTTTGGCAGATAAACTGCACGGTTGTGATGGAAAGATTCTCGGAGATGTACAAGCAACCACCAGCCGCTCAGAATCTGGCTTCAAAGTGTGCAGCGGTGGCCAAAGAGGCACAGTCGGTGGCCGAGAGCGGTTTTCCGGCTCGGAAGAGGGACCTTTTTCTCGAGCAGGGTAGGTAGCCACGAAAGTCAATGTCATTGTGAACGTCGGATCTTTCATTTCTGCATTCCATTTTAGCAAGCTCAGTTATTTCGATATACTTGCTTCATTGCTATTGCAGTCGTACATCATTATAAAAAGATAGCATAGGGACCATAAATTAACTTGCTATATTTGATTGATTGATTGATTGATATGTAGGGTTTAACGTCCGAAAAACAACATGATTTTGAGAGACGCCGTAGTGGAGGACTGCTGAATTTTTGACCCCCTGGGGTTCTTTGACGTGCACCTAAATCAGAGCACACTGGCCTAAAGCACTTTTGCCTCCATCGAAAATGCAGCTGCCGCAGCCGGGATTGTTATATTTGATATCTGATGCAACACTATAAGTAGCGATTGGCTCAAACAGACCGAAAGTTTTAGCTCCCACAACAAACCAAATACCTAATCGTGTTATTTAAGCCAACCGTAAATTCGCTATAAACGAGCTTCTAAAGTTTTATCGTTATGGTTGTATCTCTTTTGGTGGCTCAAACACTGAAGTGCGTTTTTTTTTATGTTGCATGACTAAAACTGCTGCAACGTTTGTTTACCACATTCTAAATGTCACAACTAGATTTTAAAAACTATGGCTATGAATTGTCGTTTGCTATCTAATTTGCATTTTGTGTAAGCTTTCTAGTTTTCAGTCTCGCGCTTACCAAATATTTCTTCGTTACAGCTGATATCACGCTGGGTCTCGCGTTAAAAGTAAGCATCATTAAAACGATGTGGAAAGTGGAAGCAAACGATGTTCCTAGTTAGTTAGCTGTAAACGATAATTTGCTATATCAATATTGAAACGAGTTTATACTGTATTACAAGAAAACATCCTACCGCTGTTCCGAAAAGCGGCTGTACTTTCCCAGCTTGAGTTTCCCCGTCACGCTTTGTTTAAAGAGCCAGTGAACCGGCATCTAATGATAAACGCCCATTATTGGATGGACGCAGTCACCGTATGCGGATTCCTGGACAGAGACGTATTCAAAAACCCGTCTTTCATCGAAGCCGCCCTCTCCTGGCAGCGGGAAGACGGGTGCTTCGAATCGTGGCGGCACAGGAAGCACCGCAAACATCGGCGTAGAGTGAAACGCGAAGAAAGAGTGGACGACGGTGAGTGGCTACTTCGCGCTGGCACTATTTTGCACGAAGTGGCCGGTGTATTGCAACTCGGTGCTGTTACGAATCACGTTGGCATGCATCATCCCGTCGCGCCACCCGTAGAGACCACACGACTCGAGGCGCACTCCTCGGCTTCCGGCTTCTGCAGTCTTAAAGATTTTCGGTTATTCGCACCGGTTCTCACGGTTCTATTGCACTTAACTAAAAAGCGACAGCGGCGGGAATTCTTATACACCTTGTATCAAAGAGGCCATTCTTAGTCGTGACTTTCATGTGCGGGGGGCCGTGGTAAAGCTGATAATAAGCGGCTACCACAAAACATTTGATAAATTGCACTGCTTACCACTTCTTCACTAAAAGCGAAGAAGCCTGAAAAGAAGTCATCATGCGAGTATGTGCCACTGTGTGGCCTATCAGAAAATTATTATCATCATAAACAAGCTTGTGCCGCAGAAATCGGTTTAATTCTACTACTCACCCCTGCTTCACTAAAAACAAAGAAGGCAACAGTTAATTGAAGACGCTTTGTGTGTCTGTGTGTAAGAATATTATGGGCAAGATGCAAACAAAAGGAACTATACTACCAGCTGAAGGAGTGCTGACTAAAGAGCAGGAATACAACATTTTAAAAATACTTGCAAAACGTAGAAATTCAATAGCCTGATGAAAGGAAGGCCACCAGCTTCGCTCTTGTATCAGTGCCCGCGAAGCAGAGTTCTTTGAATAGTTTTTTTTTTTTCATAATCTCATTGCGACGCCTGTATTTGTTCGTTTGCCTCCATAAAGCAACTGTTAAGCATGAAGCAATTTCTTAGAGAGTTTCGCAGTGACGTTCTGGGAAGAACTCATCCGTAAGCACGGTTATGGCGACGGCAAATGGCAGTCAAAGAAAGATTACAACAATATTTGTGTGTCTTTCATTCCATTTTTTTTTCAGACGGATGCTCAATGCACATGACAAGCGTGGGAGCTGCAGCGCTTCGCAACTTGGTTGGGAACGCTCGTACGGAGCGAGCTTCAGGGACAACGCCTCTTGCCTCGGGAACGGGCTAGCTGATGGTCAACGTTGTTGCTACAGCCCGTTGTTACCGTGCTGTTTCCGTAGTTCCATCTGTCGTTTCGTCTGTTTATGAAGGCGAAAGCCTCACCAAACGCAAAAATTGACTGTCGGTGACTGTCGGCTGGCGACACGAGTGCTGCCTAATCATGCGCTGACGTCACAATATGACGTACCATGACGTCATAGATTGCCAAGATGTGTGACTCAATCAGTGACGTCGCTGTGACGTAACACCATATGATGTCATCACATGACATCGTTACTTAGCCAGAGGTTTGTCAATTGCGCAGGCAGAACCAGGTGACGTGCCGAAAGATTTAGGAGGGGGAGGGATTAACACTTGGAGCGAGAAAAAGGGGAAGATAGCATTCGCCTTCGAGTCATCTTAGGTTAATGCGCAAGGGAATCCTTGGAGTTTTTGCACTATTGTAGCAGCATATCTTGCCATTTGCAATGACTTACTAGCACTGAGGTAAATAACTGCTTAGAGATGATCCCCCTCACAATATTTTAAAACAGCCGAGCAAATGTTACGTCTAACTGGGCTAAGGTTTCTGGTATGACGCTAAGGACAGACAGAATCAACAGAAAAAAATAATTGAAAGCGATGAAAACATAAAACTCGTTTCATGGTGGTTCCAGCGCAATTTTACGATAACAATTGTGTACCCTCGGCTGACTGTGGTTGATAAGAGGACAGAAACTATTGAGTGAATTTTACTTGACAATCACAACGTGTAACATTGCTTAATTTTGGCTACCGCATGATTTCAGCTGAATTCACTGACCTGCCCTGAAAATGTCAGGCCAATATCGAATGCAGTAATCCCGGTGCTCTCTCGGTGAGATCATCCGCTGCCCTGCGCAACTTCGAGCTCGTCGACCAAAACTGGACGATTCAGCAGGCCCGCAAAATGGCGGCCGGGCAAGACCTATAGACGTCTCGACGCGAAAGGCATGAGCCCGGGTCATCAAGCTGCAAGAAATTCAATAAAAATGTTTACCAATCAATCAACCAAGAGTTACGCTGTGATCGGTCACAGGAATGTTCTAACACATCAACTATTATTACGACCAACTATAACTATTGCGATCTGCATTACGATAACCGATCCCGAAACTGCCTTTTTGGTCAAAAGACTCAGATTAAAATTTTTTGAAATGGGATTAAACTGAACACCGAAAAATACGTTATTTTTGAAGGCTTTATGCCTACCTTTTGGGGAGGGGGGCGAAGTACACCCACAAACAGATATACAAAAATGTGATGAAACTTTCAATATTAAAAATGCAGTATTTCCAACTGATATTAGATCTAATAATATTACATGAGAGTTTCAAAAACTAGAAACACCACGGGAAGAAGACGACGAAGCTGTTGCTGCTTGGCTAAGTAGCTCTGTCTGCTGTTATCGTTTATTTTTGTTTATATTACGGCTCAGCACTGCTCAAGACGTCGGACGACTCGAAAAGGTACCTGCCGTATCGGCGACCGACGGGTGCTGCGCAGCCCGCCGCGTCGAAAGGTGCTAGAAGAAACGAGACAAGCATCAGGGAGAGCGCCGCCATGACCTCCCAAGGTGTGACACAAGGTCAGAAGCACCAGCTGGTCTGCGCAAGCATACCTGACTGCAAGCGACAACACAGCGCTGAATCAGAGGACGAATCAACTGTCGTCGGGGACCACAACGGGGCGAACCTCACAGATCAAGACATGGACGAGGGTGGTTTCCGCCGTGTACGACATCGCAAAGACAGGACGGTGGGCATTCCTGTCTTAATCGCTCCAACATCCGAAGGAGCTAACTTGAGGCAAGTGAATCCTATTCACCTATACTCGGAAATTGAAACGATTCTCGGTGGAGCCCCAGTTAAGAGCCATTTCACAGCACAGGGAGCCCTGCTTTTGGATATAGAGACAGAACATCAAGCTAATATGCTTCTAGAGACAAACACTATCTGCGGCCTTGCCATATCTGCCCGTGTACCACACAGCTACATGAAAAATACCTGCATTATAAAAGGGGTACCAAGATGGTACTCGGACGAAGAGCTGTTAACCTACCTGAGACCTCAGGGAGTATACCACGCAAGAAGGATCATACGACGAGTCCAAACCTCATCCACCGAATGGGAATCAAGGCGCACTGACTCTGTAGTTCTCACATTCGCTCCCAATTCGGAACGTCCAGAGAAAATCAACCTTGGCTTCACCAGACACGAGCTGGTAGACTACGTGGAGACGCCACCACGCTGTTTTAAATGTCAGCGTTTTGGACATGTTGCCAAGCACTGTCGTGGGGAACAAAGGTGTAAGCGCTGTGGGGGGCCTCATGACTTTAAGACGTGTACAAGTAAAGAAAAACTTGTGTGTGCAAACTGTGGCGGCGACCACCCAGCTAGCTACGGCCGATGTCCAGCACGAACAGCTGCGCAGCGAAAAAATGAGACGTTTGTCCTCGGCCCGAAGACTGTGAACGAACCATCGCTCACAAAGAAGACTTCCGGCGCGCCACAACTTGGCGTTTCGGATAACGAGTGCGCAGGAAATTTTCCACGCCTAAATCCGACAAGAGCTGGTACTGAGTCAACGCAAGTGCTCAACGCTGGTGAGAAATGTATCACGAAAGAGTCCGCCAAGCGCACCTACGCTGATGCACTGAGCCCATCTCAAGTACCATCTGGAAGTCAACAGCAAGAAAACCTCGAGCACGTTATTCGCGCTCTGTTCACAGCACTGCGTTCACACGTCGCTAAGATGCCTGCGAGTTCAACGAAGGATATGTTGGGAGCAGT